AAAAAAACATCATTACAAATCTTTTGTAAAGGTTGCAAATCAGACAAACGCAGCCATAAACCAAATGGCCAATAATGATGGCTATTGATTTGCTGGCTTAAAAGTCAGCGGCCGTTTTGGCGCCTCAATTTGAAAGGCTGCCGCGACAGCTGCTGCTGCTGCTGCTGCTGCGTCTGCCACAGAAGCGAAAGGAGGGCAAGTTTTGATTTTGCCACATGTTGCATGCTGATTTTTATTTTGTTATTGTTGCACTTCAAAATAAAGATGAAGTTGTTAGCTGCACAAAAGGCAGCTGCAACACACACACATACACACTCGAACACACACACACACACAGGGAGGGGGGGTCGTGTGGCAACAGCAGATGGCAGCAGCGCATCGGTCATTATTTGCATTTGTCTGGGGCATTGCGCATCGGCCAGACTCTGACAATGCACAAATTTGCGATGCTCGCGATTACACAAGATTAGAGTTGGGCTTGATTGCAGCTGCGGCACACACACTACCTAGTTGCATGCTACATGCCGGTGCAGCTGCCGCTGAGGCTGACAATTAAAAAGTCACAGCCGTAACAAGTGCCAAGTTGAAGACTCCTGCACTTCACACTGAGCTGTTGCCAACAGTTGTTGCTGCCACAATTGTCTAACAGGCAGCCGGAAGACAGTTTACAGTTAACAGTTGTTGTTGTTGCTGCTTTTGCCACATTAGTGACATAATTTACCAATGTCAATGGAAGAATACAGGTAAATGGCAGAGTTTGCTATGTTGCGGGTCAAGCGTTGACACCTGTCCACAACAACAACAGCTAACTGTTATGTAAAAGCTACTCACCAGCAATGGCAAATGTTGCAAGCGCATCTTGCAGGACAACGGCTGTTGTTGTTAATCCGCTTAACAGTGGCTGTTAGTTAACAGCTGTTGTTGCTTAACAGCGGCTTGTCTAATATGCCAAACAAAATACACAACACAACACTGCACAGCACACAGATCACGTTTATGTATATGTGTATATTTATATATATTCGGCCCGTTATCCTGGCGCCGCACAACAACAAAAGCCGCGTACGCAATCAAATTTAGTTCAGAGCGCAGCGCGTCCAAACCGAAACGCGTCCGTGTTATAACTGAAACTTGATGCAAAGCGCAGTCGCACAAGTCGCAAACGCGCGACAGTGTGAGAGAAAGAGAGTGAAGAAGACGCCAGTAACAAGTGACTCACCTCGTGGTGAGTTGCGGCCAGCGCTGGGGGAGTTTAACTCTGTGACTGCTGCTCAAGCATTCTCAATCAATTCACGCTGAAAGTGAATCTGAATAAACACACACACACACACACACACATGCACTTTACAGCTCATTTGGCTAAGAGCAGAAAAGTACTTAATCATGATTACAATTACGTCTATGCGCAGAGCAAAATGTTTAGAGAGTAGCTCAAATTGTGCCGCGAGCCAACAATAGCTCAATGTGTGCGCAAAACGCCGGCAAAAGCCAAACAATAATAATAAGAAAATCGAAAATGAGTAAATATATATAATAATATGAGAAAAAAAATTAAGCGCACAGCTTTATAGATAATGCCCCAGCGAAATGTCTGGCGAAAAAAAAAAGATCAAAGATCACAATAGGGCACATAATTAACGGTTATCGAAAGGCGGTTTGTTTCTTCATTGTGCCACATAAAATCATAAACATTTTGGCCTGCACGGTTAGCAAATGAGCGGCAAATAGCAAACATAACATGTAAGAGTGCTCAAGGCAGGAGTGCGCGACTAGCGGATACCCTATGGGGAGGGGAGACAGGGGTCGTTAGTTTTGAAAGATACTCTAAGTTTATATACTTCTCCAGAAGTGACTCTTGCTCTTAAGATTTAAGAGATTGGCTCTATAAACATGATTTCGATAACGATTTTTATCAATTGCAAGTTATCGATTATCGGAAACAAACTGTACATACATATGGACAATCGAATGGACAGTTGGGGGAACGGACGGACAGACGGACGGAAAGGAGACGCAGATCAACTCAGCTATTGATGCTGACTAAGATTATATAAACTAGATGGGGTTGGAGATGCTTTCTTCTGCCTGTCACATACATTTGCCGAAAACCAGTATACCCTTTTACCCATTTTCAATGGGTATGAAAAACATAAGTAGAAGGCACTCAGTTTGGCAGCAAAGGCAAATTAACATTGATATATTGTTGCCTGATTGATTTTTATTTGTAGCTCCAAATTAATTTGTGCTAAATAAATATACCTGCAGCATAAATGTGCTCAATTACAATTGTAATTACTGCAGCAATTACTTTGGTAATTAGCCCCAAAGAAAAGCTGTACAAATTAAGCATTTCGCGTTAAAATAAAAATTAGCGCTCATTACAAATAATTTAACATTTACGATTATTTGTTGTATGATATATCGTTGCCTAATTTCTTGTATTTCCCCGCAGTTATTTATTGATTTTGTTTGATTCGTTTTTCATATTTCGTTACGAACTTTCAAAAACGCAAAACGCATCTCAAATAAATCATTTACTCCCATTTTGTAGCGGAAATACAAAAATAATTGTTAGTTGTGAGCTGTTTCCGTTGATCATTGAAAAAAGCATAAAAGAAAAAAAAAAAGAAACCAAATGCTGGATGTCTGAAAACAATGATGGCCTAATATCATTAGTCTAATATCTATCTGTCTAATATCTATCTATCTAATATCATAATAAAGAACAGGTCGATTGTTTAAGGACAACTTTTTAAGTACCATAGCATTGCTCCTGATGACAATTTTATTCTTTTATTTATGAAATAAATCAATTTCATTTCATCAATTCATCAAAACTGATTTTTTTAATATTATCAAGAAACTATTGAGATAAGCTTTTTAAGCAGCAAAAGCAACAATTGCTGCTGAGCATAAAGAAAGAACATACCAAAGTGCAAACTTGACTTTGCCCAAAGGCAAGGTTAAAGTTGAAGCTTATTTACAAGCGGCCAATTTAAATACAAAACCTGCACAAGGCTTTTGGTTGTGCTGTGTAAACTCTCCCACATTTCTGGGCTGCTGCTTTTCAGGTGTTTTGTTTAAGTTGTTGTGTGTTGTTGCATCATTTGTGGCAATTAAGTGCCTGCAGGCGGACAAGTGAAGCTCATTGCGCAGCTTCATAAATATATCAAGCATACGCAGCGTGCGACAATTGTTAAGATTAGCGATGCATGCAAAAGCCAAACAGATGAACCCCTTTGTCTGGCCAGTCCGATGTCTGTCTGTCTGGCTGGCTGGGTGACTGACTGGCGCGCAGTGACCATGGCCAGGTAATTTTGCCAGCCGCCAAAAATCAATGACCGACCGGTTTTGCATAGGCATTCGGTGTCTTCACTTGGCGCAGTCCATGTCGATGTAACGTAACAACTTTCGCTGAAACGTCATTCACAACAACAACAACAACAACAACAGGGAGAAGAAAAAGAAGCAGAAAAATACAACTGCAAATGGCAAAAGGCAGCAGATAAAGCGACGATCACCAAAAACCAATTGATGAAGCAGCAGCACAACGAAAAATTCAGTTTCAGTGTCGCCGCCAAATGTTGCCTCTTGCCTCGTTTGGCTATTAACGCAACGTCTAGACCAGTTTTGGCAGCAACCAGAGCAGCAGCAGCAGCAGCAGCAGCAACAGCAGAGACAGCAGCGACAGCTCCCAGCTTCATGTTGAGCACGAGCTGGCCATAAACCAGAGGCGAATATTCGGTAGACTTTCGAGTGCTGCTGGAAGAGACTCATTTGAATAATTGAAAAGCACTTGCACTGTGCAATTGAGAGCACATCAAATGAAATGTTTGATTTGCCACACAACAACAACACACACACACACACACACACATTGCGACTGCACTTGCTTAAATTGCCGGAAAATTTCGCTTCATCTTCAACGCAAACTGGAACTCGAGCTACAGCTACACGACTTGGAACTGTCTGCCTCAAATGACTGTGCAACAGACACGCCATACAAACACACGCTGCGCACCGGAAATTGTTAAAAACATGCCATGTGAGTGAAAAAAAAAAAATGAAAGAAAACCCAAATTCCCAATTGGCACAGACTCGCACTCGCACGCCCATTACCCGGTCGAGGCGACAACATTCTGTGACCTCATACATATTTATGCCAGAGCCGAGCAAAATTTACTTTCATGCACAGCTCTCAACACGCAAATCCACAGATATTTTCAGTTAATGAAGTCTGCTTAGGTCGTATATAAATATATAAATAATAAGCACGTAAGCTAAGGCTGAAGACCACCTGGAGATGGGCTTATTCTAATAAAAAAAAAATTAAAAAAAAACCAAATAAAAAATGAGAAAAAATTAAAAAACAAAAAAGTATTTTTTGTTGGGCTTCCGGTAAGAGTTTAAGGCTTTTTCCTAATATTTCTATATCAAGGGTAAGCTACTTAATTCATGGCTTTAAACAACTTTCTAGGGGCAATCTACAGAGCCAATTTGTAAAGGCAATCTGTCTATATAAGCTATATGACGATTTAGTTTGTGCCCTTTCGATGCCACAGCGCTCCTGAACTTAATTTGCTGCTGGCATTTTGATACTCAAATCAATAAAAAGGCTATGCCAGGTGACTCTGAAACTGTAACTAAAACTGGCTTTCAAACTGTGACTGGTTTTATATAGCCCTTCACAAAATGTTAAAGGGCATATTGGATTTGTGCAGACCAAGTTATACAATTTTAAAGCTAAGCTAAGGATGGGCATGCTTTTTATGCAGCTTTGCCATGCACAATAGCTAAATGCTGAAGAAGTGCAACTGCCGCGAGCTGGTCGTGTGTGCAGCACTATAATGACATGAACATACCTGAAATGTCCCGTCGACAAAATGCGTAATTGGTCTTTTAGCCATGTTAACACGGCGCCCAACAAAACAAGCCAAACTGCACGCCAATGGGCCAGCACAAAAGCCAGCCGCAGGCCCAGGCATGGCCACAGTTGCGTGATGTCCGCAGGACTCGGCGTCATGCGCTTATTCATCATCTTTATGCTGGGCTGCCTGTGCCCGCGGCAGCACTGCGTCCAGCTGGAGGACTGGCCGGACCATGCAGATAGCCAGCCGCGGCTGCTGCAGCTTTTACAGCGCATTCGCTTGGAGCGGCACTTTGAGACGATCGTGGTGTATGGCCGGGCGCCGTGTGTGTTCCATGAGCTGCTGCCGCAGCTGGAGCTGCCCACGGTGCTGCTGGCCAATGGCAGCAGCCTGGCGGATTGGCGCTTCAACAGCGAGTCAACGCTGCTGCTGTGCTGCGGCCTTAGCGCCGAACAGGAGCACAATCCGCACACCTTATTGAGGCTGCAGCAGGCGCGTCGCTTGGTCCAGCTGGCGCCCAAGATCCGGCCGCGGTGGCTGTGCGCGGTCTACTTTGCCCGGGAGCAGCACAATGTGGCCATGCTGGATGCACGTGGCAATGTCTACAGCTGTCGCCTGTTTCAGCAGCCGAACTATGTGCAGCTCGTCAGCTTCGGCTCCGACTCCGACTCCAACTCCAGCTCCATTTATGTGCAGCAATACGGCAATGTGCAGGGCGCAGCAATCATAAGCGAAGCGGATCAGCTGATGCCGCGTTCCATGCTCTTTCGGAATCCCAGCACTGGCCAGCTGGAGATGGTGGGCTTTGTGTGCAATCTGATTAACACGTTTGTGAGGCGTTTGAACGCAACGCTAAAACTGCGTCCGGACATCGAGCTGGGCAAAACCATATACTATGGCATTATGGAGCGGCGAGTGCAGGGGAACGAGCTGGATGTGGCTGCCTCGTTGACGACCACCCTGACAACGAATAACATGGACTATCTGAGCTATCCGTTTGTGTCGACGTCATATTGCTTCATGATACCCTTGCCGGCACGGCTGCCCTACAAGAAGATCTACACGGTCATTGTGGAGCCTCTGGTGCTGGGCGTGCTGCTGCTGCTGTTCCTGATCTTCTCGCTGCTGCTCATCTACAGCCAGGAGCTGAGCTGGCGTCGTCTGAGTCTCAGCCAGCTGCTGCTCAACGATCGCTGCCTGCGCGGCCTGCTCGGCCAGGCGTTCCCGTGGCCCCAGCAGGCCAGCCGCCATCTGAAGGCCATTTGCTTGCTGCTGTGCTTCGCCAGCCTCATGACCACCACCATGTACGAGTCCTATCTGCAGTCGTTCTTCACCCATCCCCCAGCCGAGTCGATGCTGCGCAGCTTTGCCGATTTTCGCGATTCGCCCTACAGAATTGCCGTGGATCGCAAGGAAGCGAACCGCATGCTCCAGAGCTACAATTTGACCACGGACCATGCTCGCAACGCCTTCATCCTGGAAAGTTGGCATGAGTTTGTAAAAATGCGCGACACCTTCAACGCCAGCTTTATTTACCCTGTCACCCGTCTGCGCTGGAAGTCCTACAACGAGCAGCAGAAGCTCTTCCAGGAGCCCATGTTCTACTATTCGGAGGACGTCTGCCTGCATCGCTTCATGCTTATGTGCCTGCCTGTGCGTCGCCATTGGCCATATCGCCAGCTCTTTGAAAATCACATGCTGTCCATGTGGGAGTTTGGCGTGATGCAGCTCTGGGTTCGCAGAGCCTTCTACGATATGGTGCAGCTAAACATGACCAAGCTGGTGGACTTCAGTTCTGGCAAGCCGGAGGAAGATGCGGTCTATGTTCGCGATCTCTCCTGGATATTCTTTTTCTATGTGTCTGCCAATCTACTCGCCTGCATTTGCTTTGCTGTCGAATTCTGCTGGGGCAGATACGTTTGAATTCCTGCAGTTCTCCTCTGAATGCGCTTCACTTGTTTGCTGTTGGCTGCTTTGCATCTGAATAAATGCGATTTAAAGAGAAGAAAACTGATTTTTAAAATGAGCATATCTAAAACCGGATTAAGACATGTTTAAAGCTGCTTTAAATCAGGTATAAGCTAGCATTAATACTATTCTAAAAGAGGTTTCAAATAGCTTAAAAACTGTTCTAAAAGTGGTTTAAAAATGTATGATTTAAGCTGGTTTTAGATTATCGTTAGACTTTTTTAAAGGTAGTTGAAGATGGTTTAAGGACAATTGTAAAACTGGTTTCAAGTTGGTTTAACACTATTCTAAAAGTGCTCTGTAGCTTGTCGAAAAATGGTTTAAAACAGTTTCTGAACGATTTAAGATTTGGCTTAAAGCAAAATTAAAACTATTCACAAACTGATTTAGGATTGGCTTAAAATATACTCAAATTTAAATAAAACTGTTTATAAAGTGAATTAGGTTATTTTTGGGAATTACATTTATAAGAAGCCCAAAAGTTTTTGACACGGGCTGCTTGGGCATCACGAAAAACGTGAAAAGTGATCTGCAATCAATTTTGCAGCTCTACGTGTCCGCTTAGCTACTAGTCCACTAATTGCCTTGTCATCGAATGCTCCCAATTACATAAGCCACGCATTTTGTAGTCATTTTTTATACCGTGCGCCATGCCGCTGAACTCTAAACCCCATTAACATTTTGAGGCAGCCGCCTCCGCTTCAAAAATGCTGGCGGATGTTCCTCCATAAACACATATACAGATATATATGTATACAGATGCTTATATATAGCTGCCATATAACCACGCATTTCCATTTTCATTTAAATGACATCGTAAAAAAACGGCAAAGGTTGACTAACGTCCGCACAAAGTTGTTCGTTGTTTCTTTCGTTTCTGTTTGATTAAAATCAATATGCGATTTTAAAAGGTATTCAATGTTATCTATGAATCAATTTGTTGGCTGGATTGTGTAAACCCAATTGGAAATATTGTGCATGCGCATTCCATCTGCCGCATTTGCTCCGCTTAACTGTTGCCCATTTTGGGGATCCAATCATAGCTGCAAATTCGATGACGGGCTCTTGCGGCAATGCCTCATCTCGAGCCCATAAATGCTTAAACAATGCGGGTGTCTGTGGCGCTTATGCAAAACTTAGCTTAACTACCTGACGCGCCGAAAAAAAAGTAATAAAAATTATAAATTAAGACTATCAAACATATCGGCGACTTAGTCACATAATTTTAATTTCTTTCCCTGCACCTGGCCCAAGACGGCCTTGGGCTCGGCGCCAGGTATTACCCGGTGGGTGATACAAGAGCTGTGCATTGTTAATCCGCTTTGATTATGTTGAACAAACGCTTTCAATATTGTTTTTTTCTTTAAATTTCATATTCGTTTTTTTATCGATTTTTTTTTTTTGGGATTATATGTGCAGTGGCTGTTTCTCATAGCGCGCAGCTATTTAAAGTTATGAAATTGTGCTACAATCGTTTGTGCAAGGAAATGCGAAGAGTGTAATTTGCTATTTGCCAAATTGCAAGTGTGTTAAACGGCCGAAAAGCGGTTTAAAGGTGTTTTTCGGAGGTAATAATAGTAGCTGAGCAGGTATCGAAGCTTGTTCAAACTGTTGTGTTGTGCGTTGTAGTAGGACGGAAGATAAGCCTCAAGCTGTACATGATTTAAACGCGGATTTGGGTTAGATTTACAAACATTTTCAATACCAAATTGGGACGACTTTTAATGGTTGATGGAATTGAACATTTTGATGGTCACATCACAAGTATCTATCTGTATTTGTATGGATTTATAGCTGCATAGATAGATACAGATAGATAGTTCTATATAAAATGATTGTCAATCTCTAAATCTATATATTTATCTATCTACCTATCTAGCTACTTATCTATCTATCTACCTATCTTTCCATATATCTATCTGCCTAGCTGTCTATCTGTGTATCTATGTATCGATTTATCTATCTATCTATCATCTATCTATATCTCTATCTCTCTATATTTCTATCTACATATCTGCATATATATGTCTATCTGTCTATATTTATATCATTACATCATTCTTTTTATCTATCATTCTATGTATCTATCTATCTATCTACCAATTTATCTGTCTACCTATCTGTCTAAAACATATCTATCTATGTATCTATCTATCTATCTGTCTGTCTATCTAAGCAGATAGATAGATAGATTTTAATATCCTCTTATCAGTATACCTTGCTATCTATCCATCCATCATTCCATCCATAACTTATAAAACTAGAAACAAACTTTTCCCAGCATCTCTTTGAATAGTTATTGATTTTCCCAGTTATTCGAATTATATATTTCCCATAACCAATTGATAAAGCATTTCGAAAAGCAGCTCCTAGCTCGAGCACAGCTCCTTTTGTGCGTCCAATAATAAAGAGCAATCATTTTAGTTGCCCAACCTTTTGACATTTTGTAGAGCAACTCATCGCAGCGAGAAGAAAGACAACAAAAATCCGTAACAAAATAAATTGTGGTTAACAATTTTTCAATTGCAATCGCTTTTCAAATATTTCAATTCTATTATTATGCGTTGTCTGCGTGATGGATTGCGAAGATGATGATGATGATGATGAGGCTGGATGATTATCCGCATAACATGAAGACCACATAAATGGGCAAACGGAGCAGGCCAGACCCGGCCAGAGCAGAGCACTCAGGGTCATTCAGATTAAATAGGTTTTGTGGCTTATGTCATTATGGTCAGATCTCGAACCGAAATGCCTAAACTGTTGGTATTTGTATTTGTTTGTGCCTGTTAATGAGGCCTCGCGCTGAAAGTCAATAACAAATAACATATATGCGTATCATTGGGGCTGCAATGAAAAAGAAGCAGCTCCTAAAATCGTATACCTTGAATGCATTCGGTTTTATATAGTTGAACGCCTCATAAAACTTTACAAATTCAACCTTAAATTATCAACAAAAACTAAATTGAATATGCGCTAAAAGTGCCCAAATCGGTTGCTTATGAAATTAAAGGTGTTAATTATTGTTTGTAGCTAACATTAAAAAAAAATCCAAAATCAAATCGTAATTTGGACCAATGTTGACGCTGTTACAATTTAACTGGCAGTTAACAGGGTCGCCACAAATCAAATGCGAAATGTCGGCAACGGGCAGAAGAAAAGCAAACACCGGAGAAAGAAAGAGGGGGCTAAAGAAAAACAAAAGAAAAACTTTGGCAAACGGTGTGTGTGACTAGCAAAGTAATTTATTTCCTTCCTAGTTTTTGTCGCTGGAAGCTATTAAAGAGCGTTAGCGCAGATCTGCAAAACGAGCCACTTGCACCTTACACCATCTCGCCACTTGGCGCCAAATTCCCACAAAGCCCCGCTCCAAAAACTCCAATTACCGCAGTGTTAGGGAGCTCTTTGAACCCTTTTTTTTTGCCGCTTACCAACGGCGGTGACGGCGGCCCCCGCAGCGACAAGCTTGCGTATACGTAACGTATTAATTATGGCACGAAAAGCAGCAACAGTATTTGGCGATGGATAAAAACAAAAAGCAGAAATACCTGAGTTAATTAGCGAAATTAATCACAAAAGAGCATCGGGGCTAAATCTGGGATAAATTTGTGTTAACCCTATTTCAGTTTTTGAATAAATGAAAGTCTAAAATTAAAATAATATTTCAATTATGCGCAGCGGCAGCAACAACAACAACAACAACAAGGTGTCATCGCGTGTCAAAGCTAAGAAAGCAAAGCTAACAATTCAGACAACGTTTTCATTTTTTCAAATAGGAAATACATTTTGTTTTCATTTTAACAACAAGCAAACATGCAATTGGTGCATTAAGTTGACAACAAAAGTGTCAAGTGTGACAGTTTTGAGTTGAACACCATGGCCCTTCGACATATTCAGCAGTTGCCTTTCGTTTTCAAGCCGCTCTCGAATGCACTTTACGCCCACTTTTGTAAACTCTCAGTTTTTGGTAGTCACAAAATCGAACATATTTGATCTTGTCAATAGCTGACTAAAAACTTGAGGAACTACCACTAAAAGACCACTTACTTTCATTTATAACTTTTTACATCTAATTACATTTACAACATCATTATCAAAAGTCTTACTGCGTTAACAATAATGTTTGCATTTTCAACATTTAAATCTTGGCGCTCTTTCTACATTTACCAACACAGCTTTAAACGCCTAACAGCACACTTTACATACGGGCCTGCCAGACTGCTGAAAAAACTAGGGTAAGCGCGTTCACAGCACACTGTCACAGTTTACAAAATTGTCGCCTGGCCAAGCAATATTAAATGAAACATTGTGTGATAAATGTTTATAATTATAAAATTCGATAATGTTAACATCTTGTAGGCTTTAATTTTGTGTGCGCCTCTACAGTAAGCAAAAATTTAGCTAACACCAAATGATTCGACATGCTGAACGCATCCACAGCCCATACACTTGCTAACAGGTGGCAACGCCGCATCACCTGCAAGTCGCTCGTAAGTGTTTTTATAAGTTCGCAACACAATATTTCGTAAAATTATAAGTGCCAGACGCGTTAAACAAACATAAAACGTCAATTAAAACGCGAGCAACAGTTGACATGCTGTAAATATGCGTAGCTGCGTTGCAGCCCAGAAGTGTGCACCGAGCAACAGAAGAAGAAGCAACAGTTAAGCCATATACACACACACACATACATACATACATACCAGTGCAAACATACCAATACATATGTACATACATAGCTAGGTGAAGAGCAGAGCAATGGGCGGCGCGGCACGGACGGACAGCGACAGCGACAGCGACCGCAACGACTAGAATTAACGTTTAGTCTAGTTTAAGCCACAGACGCCACATCACAAAGCGCTTGAGCTGCTTTACGAAACTAAAATATATTTATGATAAAAAATATATGTATATAAATAAAAAATATAAGCTGAATATACACGAAAGCTGCGGGC